GGTGCCTCCTCCCGCCCTTGAGGGCCCTGATGGGGAGCCCGTGCCTCCGGCTCCTGGCTCCTAGGGCGGCGCCCAGAGCACAGGTACCGCGCCGCCGCGCACCCCGAGTCGCGGAGGCGGGATGGGGCGAAGGTCCCGGAGGGCGAGGATGGTGGCCCTCCCGGCTCGCGACGCCCCTCCTCCGCCCTCAGCTCCGGGCTGGATCCTGACCCACCGCTTACCAGCTGTCCGGCCCGGGCCGAGGTCCTGAAATTTTCTGTGCCTCGATTTCCTTACCTGTGAAACGGGGATAACAGTACCTACTCTGTAAATACGCGTCGAGCCTTTAACACACGGTGCAAGTCATTTCTACTCGTGTGGTTGGCTTTTGCGGAGAAGCGCTAAGTACTCAGGAACTGTAACCCCTTCCACAGAGAGGGAAATGGAGGCTTCAAGTGGAGTCAGAATAAGCATGTCTTTGCGCAATTAATAAACGATTGAGCGATTATTCTGGATTAGGAACTGGAAAAGGATGAGTACGCCAAGACTCCTACTCCTTGGAAGTCTCAGTTCATTTGTTAATTCATTTGTTAAGTCTTTATTGAGGTCTTGTTAGATAAGGGAATAGTGTTGGAGACAGAGGTAGCAGGAGGGAAAGAGCCAGACTGCCCAGGCCCTGCCCTGCCCGAGCTCTTGTTTAGTGGGGTGGACAGGTGAACCCGTGCTTCACCACATTTTGGTCAAGCACAGACCACATATACGACACCGGTGATCCTGTAAGGTTACAGTGGAGTTACCCCACCCAGTTGTACCATTTTTAAATTTTTTTTTTTTTTCTGACTTGGAGTCTCACTCTGTTGCCCAGGCTGGAACGCCGTGGCACGCTCACGGATGCCCCAGCGTCTAACTGGTTGGGCTCTGGCGATCCTTCTGCCTCAGCCTTCCAAGGAGCTGGAACTACAGCTGTGCACTCCCACCCCTGGCTAATTTTTTATTTATTGTAGAGACAAGGTCTCGCCAAGTTGCCCGTGCTGGTCTCAAACCCACAGGCTCAGGCAGTCCACTCGCCTCAGCCTCCCAAAGTGCTGGGATTGCAGGCTGAGCCTGGCCTCGAAATCTTTTTACTATGCCTTTCAGTGTTTAGATACACACATGTGAACCACTGTGGTACCATTGCCTGCAGTACTCAATACAGCCACATGCTATGCAAGTTTGTAGCCAAGAGTAACAGGCCAGGCCATCCAGGATTGTATACAGTAATGCTGTGATGGCACAATGATGGGATGGCCTGACAAAGCATTTCTCATAACACGTGTCCCTGTCATTAGGTGACGCTTGACTGTACGTTACTGTGTATTAAGGGCTGTCATAGGGCATGTACGGTGTGCTGTGGGATGCCTGTTGCAGACCTTGAAGAGCCTAGGAACCCTTCCCAGAGGAGGTGACATCTAAGCTGAGATCTGCCATGGGTATTAGGGACAGGGAGTGAGTGTCCCAGCCAGAGAGGAGTCATGTTGGAAGACCCAGAGGAGAAAGAAAATTCCTGTATGTGTTTAGGAAAGCCTGGAGGAGGTGTGCAGAGATCAGAGATGCACGGAGCGTGGGGGGTGGACTGGAGTGAGGTGAGACTCGAGGCAGGAAAACCAGCTGGGAGGTGAATGCGGTGGTGGAGAGAGGAGGTGATGGATTGGCAGGGCAGAGGCAGCCAAGCTGGGACCCGCCCCCAGTCAGAATGCAGCTGAGTTTGCGTAGCAGGCCCTCTCTGTTTTTCCCGTGGTAATGGATCCTGTCTTGATCCTTAGTGTGGTTGCAGCTATAGCGTCAGGCGCCCTTTGAGGTCAGGGCAGTACAGCACCATCTCTGACGTCACTGTGCAATCTGGAAGGGCCGCAGTGTCCCTTCCCTCAAGGGCTGCTGAGCGGGTGGTGGGCCGATGGCTCCTGGTCTGCAGTGGAGCAGTGGCTGGAGCAGTTATCCTTGGTGGAGTAACCAGGTGAGTAATTTGCTGATGGTGAGTAGGGATTCGGGGTGGAAGTGGAAGCACAGGGTGGCTGAGGGGAAAGGGCTCTTAGGGACCACACCTAGTCAGGCTTTACACATGGAGAAACTGAGGCTGCAAAGAGGGAACGTGCAGATGGCTTGCCCTGCCACAGAGCAGTTCGCTATTTTATTGGTAGGAGCCTTTCAGAAAGACTGATTTGACCTCAACTGGTAGCTGTGCATTGTTTGTGTACAGTTTTTCTCTCCAATCTCAAAAATTTTTTTGAAAGTTTGTTTGAATTAAACCCAAATAAGTTCCACACATCACAGTTGGTTCATACGTTTCTTAGGTTACTTTAACCTTTTGTACTCAGATATCCCCTCTGAGGGGACATGGTAAATGTAGCAAACCACTCGGATACCCCTTTTCAAGGGACATAAGAGGTTGCTAGAGATTATACAGGACAAACTTATGCAAGCACAGAATTTTCAAAATTGTTTGTGTCCTTCACATTTTTCATTCAAATTGCATGAAAAAGCAAATAAAGAAATGGAATATGTACTTGAGATAAAGATCGATCGGTTGAGAAGTGGTTTTCAGGAATCTTGAGTGTGTCCTTTCACATCTTTGAGCAACAAATTGGACAATAAATTACTTATTACTGTGGAAGGAAGAAAACGAGACTCTGATCAAATAGAAAAACACCAGGTGGAAGATGTCAAACAAATTACTATCGCACACATGTACCAATGAACCTGCAATGCATGTTGGTGACTGTTTCACATGTTACCACATTAGAAAAATACAAGGTACAACGTTTTGATTTTTTTGGTCATAGATAAGTTTCTCAGTGTCTAAAAGTCCATTGTAAGTGACATAACATTACAATAAAATAATTAGTTTCAACGCTATACTATTTCATATGAAGTAATTTGCTTTTCACTGTTATGTAAAGTGGTCAAGTTGCTGATAGGGGATCTGTGAGATGTCTCTGATGCAAAGGGTTAAATCTACAAAGAGACAGAGATGCGGACTCTCTTTCCTTCCTCCTTGTTTTGTGATTGAAGAAACTCAAGTCCTTTGTCCTGTGGTTGCCACAGTCTGGATTTGCAGACTGCATACTGTGCTGATGTTTAACATGTCCCTCTGTTCCCTGTATTTCCTACAAACAGGAGTTGCTTGATCAGATTCAGATTGAGGGCAGGGTGGCAGAATATTTCAATGGGTGTTTAGAACTTTCATGAATTACTGTTGTCTATTAGAGATGTCAACAACAGTTGATTACCATTACCTAGGTGCATTGTTTCATTAGAGTTGCAAAATTTTAATTTTTTTTTTAAGTCACGGTCACACTCTGTTGCTTAGCTGGAGTGCAATGGCACGATCATGGTTCACCACAGCCTAGATTCCTGGGCTCAGGCACTCCTTCTGCCTCAGCCTCCTCCTGAGTAGCTGGAACTACACGCGTGCACCACCTCAACCTGCTAATTTTTGTATTTTTTGTAGAGATGGGATTGTAGGCTGGTCTTGAACTCCAGGGCTCAGGCAGTCCTCCCATTTCAGCCTCCCAAAGTTCTGGGATTACAGGTGTGAGCCACAGTGCCCGACCAGAATTGTAGTATTTTATTAGCTCAACTGTAAAGAAAAACTTGCCCAGCCGGGCTTGGTGGCTCAGTCTGTAATCCTGCGCTTTGGGAGGCTGAGGTGAGCAGACTGCCTTAGCCTGCAGGCTCGAGACCCATCTGGGCAACTTGGCGAGACCTCATCTCTACAATAAATAAAAAACTTAGCCAGGCGTGGTAACGCACGCCTGTAGTTCCAGCTACTCGGAAGGCTGAGGCGGGAGGATCGCCAGAGCCCCGCAGGTCGAGGCTGCAGTGGCTGGG